TCAATACTACTGTCCATCAAATAACTTTTGTTCTACAATGAGTGCAGAAGTGGAGGTTGAGACTCTGTTGCTGCACCGGAGTTTAGGCGTCAAAATGCACCATGTCGGTTACGTTCTGAGTTTACTGTTGATGTTTCTTCTTGATTTATATTACGCGATTGTTAAAACGCGTAGAAAGCGCAAACTCGCAACGGTCAAACCAGTTTGTCCATCCGGTTCATTTGGGAGCACATTTCGACTCTGTCGACCATAAAAAAATCATTCAGCTGTGACACCCTTCCGGTACCTAGCTGCCATGCCACCCGAAATAAGCACGAGGGCTGGGATACTGTCAGGTTGCCCAAGCCTAGTCGAGAGGTAGAGATCAGGTTCGAACCACGGAGGTCATTAAATTCGCGCTCTAACCACTTGATCCATCTCGCCCATCAGCTCGCGATGATATGGAACTCCATTGTTTTTCTCACTTGTTTCAAAAATATTGATTGTCTGAGGCTGTGTATTGACTGCGTTTTCCAACTCGATATTCTGTCCACAATGCGTGCTGGGAAGGCTTAGCAACTCCACTAGCAAAAAATTATACGGAACCCCATTGTTTTTCTCGCTTGTTTCAGAAATATTGATTGCCTGAGGCTGTGTTGACTGCGTTTTCCAACTCGATATTCCACAATGCCTGCACCACTCACAGGTTCGGTCCACAAATCATTCGGCATAGTCCAAACCTATCAGGGCACTGGAGTTGCCATGTCAAGTTCATCAGTCCAGGGTTGGGAAGGCTTAGCAACTCCACTAGCAAAAAATAGAGTCAGGCGGTGCCGTAGCCTGGGCCAAAGTGAAGGGCGTTAGAACGACCACAACAGCGAACGCAGCTAGGATAAATGAGTTGGCAGGTAATTCGGAGCCAAAACGATAGCGACCAACACTCATGGGGCGCCCGTTGGATGATCATGACTTCGCTACCCTACCTCGTGTACCTGACAGTTCATGGCTCGAAAAAGCACTCGGCTCAGAGGCTGGTCCCACGTCATTGATGCAGTTTAGTTGTTGAGCCAGTTTCATGGTCTCGGTTTCTGGCATAGAAACTGCTGATGAACGGTTTCTAGAAGAATTCAGTCAGCCTAGAAGAGTCCTGTTCTCAGTGGGCGGATACTCAAGTTGAAAAGATACAGGCATCAAATAAAAAACTGACAGTGGTGTTCCAGTGTTAGTTCGTAATTGATGTAGTGTGGCTGAATACTATCAGAGGAAAAGCCCGTTCCGCATGGAGTTTCGTAGGATCCTATAAATCAGATAGCCCTAACATTACTCAGCACTAGCATGAAGTCACACATTCGGTTTTGTACACACAAGTGCGTCTTGCAAGGAGACAGGATACCACAACTGTAGATTACCCACAAGAGGTTCATAGGCCACTCCAGAGTACATTTTGCCCTTGACTGGGCGAGCTAAACCAAGTGTATATTCAAGTAGTAGGAAGATGTCATACCGTGCGAAAAGCAGCGCCAGATCGCTGGATGAAAGATCGGACGGCCAATACAAGGTACATGGAAAGGACAGCGGGAGTCGTTTTGCTACGAATTACGCTTGCGTTGGGTCAGTGGTTGGTTTGTAGTCTTCGGCCTGTCGAGCGTTTCGGTTGGTAGTTTGTTGATAGATTAGGCTAGGAAAACCGGAAAGCCGTTTAGAAATAGTTGGAATCAAGGACGTATTGTTCAGAAAATTAACTAAGATACAGATTGTGTCTACTCGAGTTCATCCAGCCATTCAGTGCGAGGTCGTTTTTCTGACTGAATCCAAGGTGACCGAATGCGGACATCAGGAATAGATCGAAAAACGACAACTTTGTCGATAAGAGGCTACTACGAGGAAAATATCATTTCCGCCTCTTCTAGAACATGAATACCCTTCAGGAGTAATCTCTCTGATCGAGTGGTCGAAAATTTTAAGGACAATGTGGAATTATGAAGGAATATATGCTGACGAATTGTTCAATGTTTTTTTGACCGGAGTTGCCCCCTCATCAGTGAAACTCCAACCGGATTTCCCTAATATGCATCCGTTGCTTCACAGTAAAAATTTTATTGACTGGACGTACTGGATAACTCCACTTCACATTATTCGTGGATTTGCTTGTTTCTAAGGCAAATCAATCAGAACTTTCAGTGACCCTAGAAATCAACTGAGAACGAACAATGTCACAGTCGACGAAGCCACAAAAGCTCACTGTAGAAAGCAGTGGCGTCTGCTTCCAGCATAGGTTTATTTAGTTTCAAGACAAAATCTTCAATACCGTAGTTCCTTTAGCACAAGCTTCACAATGACAAACCGGAGGTTCTCCAAAGGTCACTTAATTGTCACCCGTCTTCACTAGAATTCGGTGCACTAAGCGTACCCACATCAATAAGCTATGATAAGCAACTATCACATGATTAATAGCACCCAAGTTGTGTTATTCAAACGGACAAGGGCGTGCAAACTGAATTCCAACTTGACGTTGGAAGTCAAGTTCATCTGCGGAATTGGGCAGCAGAATCGGAAATAGTCAATCATGTGCACGATCCGAAAGCTAATGACTACTCACAGAGAGCCGCAACTCGGTGGATAATTAAGGACAACTGGTCTTCCTGCACGAGGTCAATGTGAATTCGTTCCATTGTTGCGACACCTGAGATAAACGCAGAGCGATGGGGACCGAACTACGAAAAGAAGCAATGAATTTCCAAACTGTTAGCTTCCACAAAATCAATGACAGAGCATGGTATGATTGGGAATAAGCTCACCTGACCCGGGCAGTCAAATATCAGGTAGCATTTCGGATCCTTCTGTTTCAATTTGATTAGGCGGTCTGCCAACCAATCCCGGTTTGTGTATAGGTATTCCATGCAGTAGATAAGACCTCCATTTGGGCCCAAGCTTAGATAATCCATGACTTCCTCCAGACGAATGAGGTCGGAAAGATCAACGGAACAGGAGTAGGGCAACGTATCATTCGCTGGATCCAGATTCACGACATGCACTTTGCGTTCTGTTTGGATAGTTAGAAAAACCAAACGTGGGCGAGGTTGTGCACGACTGAAGTCAGTTGTTTCATAGATCCTAACGGTTGGCAGTAAAAACATGTAAAGACGCGTCTAGCGTCCAAAGATATCATTAGGCAAGTGCCTAGTGTGAAGGCAACGCATCATCGGTTGAAGAACAAAGAACAGGTGAACAGAACAATAAGCAGTCAGTTTGTGCGAAAAGCTTTCCAAGCTTACGGTCGTCAGCCTACGCCAGACGATGAACGTTTGGCCTAGTTTTCAGACATAACGTGCTATTCTGTTCAGACATAGGAATCAGCATGGTTTTCGTAGGTTTTCTGCGTGGTACCAGCTGTCTGTTATGTTCTACGGCTGCCTCAATAATCAATTACATAGATTGATGCCTCATCTAGAATCGAGGAGAAGTGTTAAAGTCGGGAAGAGAACAAACTATGAAACGTCTACTTACCTAGATTGGTAAGGAAATCCGCCATAGCAGCACAGTAGGTAGTCTTACCACTTCCAGGAGGACCAATCACAAGCTGGCCAAAAAGACCCAGACCACCGCGTGAAATTGAACTGGTGTCAAATGCCATCCAGTAAAAAAAAACGCGTCTTGATTGGGTTCCGGAAATAATTCTTCAAAGGAGCTGAAGCAAAAAAGAACGGAATGGCTGAACGACTGCGTACGTTGTTGTCCCAAAGAGAAGATGCTTCATGAAGAACGTGCAAGTAGGGATGGAAAAAGGATCGCCGAGTGTCACAGCGTATGTCTACAATGGAAACACAGCGCTGGCCGAAAGTTGAGACTAGCAGAGTATCTAGTTTGTTCAATGCAGTAGAACAAAGCGAAACTACGAGGTGTGAAAAGCATATTACACTGAAATCTGTTGCTAGATGTCCTCATTGACCGATTCCAATCTGTTAAGCTGGTGGTTTAATCCGAATGTCTCTTGGAACGCCACTATCCGCCAAAAGTACCATCAAAGGTAGTTTCAAGGAGGGTAACTACATAAGAATTCCGGCATTTTTGCCAATCCTTTGTTAAAACTGGAGCTTTTATGGATCAGGTGCTGCGTGGTATGCAGACCAAAAATTCATGGGGTGGATTAACTACCCCTCTGGTCGTTTACGGTGCAGAGTCAATGACATGATGCCCAAATTAGCTAGCGATATGCAATCATTGTTCACGTTTGTTTAGCCTTCTAGTCCTCAGACAACATGATCGAGGGTATATGAAGCTTATTATCGAGGTAGGCTGGGAGTTTCTCCGACTATCTGGAACTAAATGTCATCCCTCTATCTAAAGGATGCTCTCGGTTTGAACATCAGATCAAACTCGAGTAGATATTATCGGAACTGAAGAGCACCTGAAGACTTATTTACTCAACTCAACGTAACCATCAAATACTACTCTACTGAATGCGAGTAGACCTAACTTCTATGACGACCCATCCATGTAGTATCCCAGCACAATACGTTTTGAGAGTATAAAGTCAATTAATTGCATGTTCAGTGAGCAGTGTAAGCGATCGACGGATGGGAAAGAATGAAATGTGCAGAAGCCAAGAGCGGACTATGCGCGCAAATTTACCCAGTAATGTTTTGTCTGAGCAAGCGTTTTCGAAAGGTAGTCTGAATGTAAGAGGGACAATATTTGAAGTACGTCACCACTTCTTACTCAACACCACGCTGACGATGTCACCTCGATTGGTGCCACGCTCGGTGAAAAGACGAACAGACAAATAAATCATCACTAATGGGTGTTATGCACATGCGAAACACCTTCAAGAGTTATTTAAGCGATTCTTTGATACATACAAAGGATTAGGTTGAGTTAAGCCCCACATAGAGCGTCCCCCTGAGCAGCACCACAATTTACCACAACTTGTGCACTTAAGAACTTTCTCTCCTTTCCCCGAAGTACGAGATCTCCCATAAACCCGATATCCGGTGTACTAGATCGTTAACAGCTAAACAGCACGAAATTAGCTTAAAATGTCTCACACTGTTTGATCTTATGGTACAGCTACAGTACTCCCTACATAGAAAAAACCGCCCTGTAAAGATTACCTGCCATACGACCATATGGCTCTGCCCGTATTTACATATGTTGGACTAAGCTTTCTTCCATGTTACGAACAACTCTCTAATACGACGGAAACCACCATGCATTTCCCTGAACGTACCATGAAGGGAGTACAGTGGTCTAACGGCTTGTCGAAGAAATGGTGAACATAGGCTGCTTCGCAGAAGTAACTGTTTCGGTCCAAGAAACTCTCTCGTCGCACGAAATGTGGAATGGAGAGTCAAATAGAAACAACCGATGAAGATAACCTACCGTGACAAAAATAACTCGTTACGCTGACACAGGTATCTTCTGTGAGACAGATAATTCCAGAGCATAAGCGAGGCGAACCAAACAACTCTACTTTCTAAAAAAAAATACTCCTAATGTTGATTCCATCACCGGCAACTGTACGATAACAGACAAAGCGATACAGTGTTGTTCAAAAACTTAGATCCTTTCAAAGACCACCACCTCTAACCCGGCCAAATCAGATTCTACGTTTACGACGTCATATTGTGAGGGCGAGTACCTTGCCATATACTGATTTCTAGCACTGCTTTAGCCGTCCCTAAGTTTTCTCTACGGATGCAAAACACCCTGTCTGTGCTGTGGACGTTGTTAGACCTTGGTTACTCATACACTAAAAATCACAATTCGGATTACGGAAGCATCGTATCTCGGATGTACTTTTGACGCTACGTCATGAGTAAGTACGCGAGGAGGAATAAGTTAGTCGTAAGAGGGACAGCAATTGGACAGAAAGGGATACATTTTACAACCGACCAACCATTCTAACAGTGATTTTTTCATTATTAACAATTATTAGCCAGCCTTTCAATTCAGAGCTACTTGAAATAACATTGTGGGTGTCAATACGTGACTGATCCCTTGAAACACTGGTCACGTACTATCAAGTGTTGGTTCCCGAACTCATGGTTGAGAAATGCTCCGTGAAGGTTGTCATTGCTTTCTCTGCTTAAATTACTTTTCTATAAAAACGATAAACAATAAAAAATCACCTGAAGCCAGAGTCCCCAACAATTTCGGCCAAAAATTGGGCTGAGATACGAAACGGTTAGCAAATCAACTAGAAAATTGGGCTCACGTGACCACTGAAGGGTGATCAAACAATCGATTTGAATGCACCCCGAAGAGGCATTAGATACTGTCAAACGTTCATTCGAATCCAAAAACTCGTTCAAAAGCGAATACTGCAATAATATTTAAATGACACCAAGGGTTACATTGTTGCAATATTTAAATGACACCAAGGGTTACATTGTAACATACCAAGTTACTCAGCTTACTGTTGGTTCGCTATACTGGGAAGCGTTGATTTACTGAATCTGAATGACCGACTTAGAATCAATATACCTGAATCGTAGGAGTACGCGATGAAGAAAATTCCTCAGTACTAAGAAAAACTAGTGAAGAGACCTGATAATTAGTATCGGTGAGACTTCACAAAAGTTAGGATAGGACAGACATCGCCGCAACCGACTCCTCTTGAGTATACAAGAGGTTGCTCCAGATCTTCATTAAGAAGTCAGTATCAGCGGAACGAGGAATGTTCGGACCCGTAGCTTTTGCAGGTACGTCTTTAGATTAAATTTTAAGAAGGCCCCGCAGAAAACAGAAGGTAGTCAAAGACTTCCCTCTACTCCCCACACACACGTCGGCCCCAAACTCCGATAAAACATGCCAGACATAGGCTGAAGGCTCAAATTCTGCTGAGAAATGTCTAAAAGACTATGTCTATGGCGTTTTCTGGAAATTCTCATCTGTAAATACCTCCGCACATCTGCACACTCAACAAGACTCGGGGGAACACGAAGGCGTACTGAACAGATAGCAGTTGAAGCCGCCTACTGAAATAATTAATCAGTAGCGCGAGAGAATCATGAAGGTTACAGTGCAGTGTGTGGTGGACCGAATTACACGATTTCAGATTCACGGTCGGACTGGAAGGTCACCGTCTGTGTTCACAAAAAACCGGAGCACACAACACAAACAGCCAAATTAGTGCGCCTTTGAAGGATTCAAAGGCCGGCAGATAGCCCGGTTACAAAGCATTTCAACGTATGCATTGGAACGTGGCGTTACACCCATATTGTTACGAGCCCATGAACACGGTCGCCTAACTGCGTCCGGCGAGTTGTGGGAAGAATGCTGGAATGCGGAGGAGAAATAGCGCGCATCATATGCGTAGTGTGACACCTGCGTGCCAGTTTGTGATACACAACAAGTGTCCGATGGTGGGACGAACACAGGTGACACGATCGATGCGTCTCAATGGGACAGAACATAGCTGACACTGTTTTGGCTGTAGCTGGGGCTGGTATCAATGGAGGCGAAAAAACGCTTGCGACAGCGTTGAGCGACCAAGGTTGGTTGGCTCTATCTGGTAGTTGGCAACGGGGAGCAGACAATGACGCTGCATACTTAGTGTAGTTATGACAACGATGAGGCCACGTATTGGTTCAAGACGGTCGTCGATGACGTGAAGCCAGCAACGAAACAACGCGCATCTGAACTCCTGACGAAATACCGAGGTGCTGGTATGGTGGACAGGATATACAAGATTTTCTTATATCTAAGGTTTTTGTGAGTAAAACTAAGCAGGTAGAAAGGCTGCAGACGTATCAAACATCAGTATGGATAATGGACTGTTTATCAAGAAGGGAATGAACACTGTTCACTCGGTAGGACGAATTCGCTACCAACACGCGATGCCCTGACAGAAATCCAAAGACTACTTAGCATCAATTTAAGGCATTCTGTACAACGGGTTAGATTTGATCGCTCAACTTCATACCTCATTAAGAGACGCAGCGAGATACCGAGATGTCTTCAGAGCGATTATTTCCTAGGCACCATGAAGTTTTTAAATCGGTGTATAACGCGTAAAAAGAATTCGCTTTCATTAAGCCTTGATAACATGTATACTGGACCTTCTACTTCCCTAATGATAACTGCTTGTGTGGACACAGACCAGTGATACAGATTTCACATAATGCATGTATCTTTTATTGCTGATTCCTGCCAATTATTCACTACAAACACCTTCGGCCTTGACAGAACCACACCAGCCCACAAGACATACGGTACGCGGTATTCTTCCGAAATCTGGCGAGTGTGGGAGACTTGGTGCATGGGGGAATGCTCCTTGAAAGTTAACAAGTGAGGTTTGACAGTTAAAACAGAGAACAGTCGGGAAGAGTGGTGATGTTAGTGTGTAATAAGTGATAAGGTATGTTTTGCATATTGCGTGGATCCATTTTGCTGCATCACAGCATGAGATATGTTATCCAAATTTCTATTCAGGTTATCCCACGTTACAGAATTCTACAGCTGGTGCTAGAGTTGCCCTCAAGCGAGGACTCATGTGAGTAAGGATCGGTCTAACTCAGAGTGCTGGATTGTGCTTACATACAGTCGCTGGACATTACAAGTTAAGAAGCACTAGGGGTCGCGGGGAATTTTACATACCTCGGTAGTTGCATTAGCTCATACAGAAGTGTCTGGTGAATTCAGTGCACGAATCTCAAAAGCCAGAATCACGTTTGCTAATCTGCGTCACTTGTGTCGTCAAAACGGTATATGTCTAGGTCTCAGGGGTCGCATGTACGAGACTACGATATGGGCTGTATTGATTTATGACTGCGAGACTTGGCCCCTAAGGGCAGTTGT